CAAAGACAACAACTTCAAGTATCTTGATTATACTTCTGTGTGATATGTTATTTCTTAGGTTAGGATCACCCCCCATCTTTGATTTGAGCTACCGGCATTCAACCATGGTCCGAAAATATTAAATAGAAAGTTCCAGAAATTATGTTTTAAATTTCATGCCATTTTGAGTAGTGTGCTTGGACAAAGTGTACCTGTCTGCCTTATCTCACCAGGACATGATTCATCCCTTGTCCAGTGTATCCAAATTGTATATGCTATCTACCTCGTAGTCTCTTAATTGCCAATTTGGTTATCAGATCAGCTATCATAGGATTGTAGTGCTTGTGATCAAGTAACTCTTACTCTTTTAATAATGGGTGAAAACACAGGAGTAGTGGTGCTGGCAATTTAGATATGCCAAAGAGAAGCTATAAATTGCTTCCTTTGTGAAAAATTCTCAATAAGGAAAGATGTTGATATTGCTAAGATCTACAGTAAGAGTAAATCTTCTATTTATAAAATTGTGATGAAGGAAAAAATTTTGTGCTAATCTTGCAGTCACACCTCAGATTACAAGAATTATAGCTGCAGCACATAAGTGGTTAGGATAGAACAGGCTTTACATTTGTAGGTGAAAACAACAGAAAGTACATTCTGAGTGATGATCAGTGTGTTGTGCTAGAAAGCATTGAACTTTTACAAAGACTTCAGCAAGACTTCTTGTGAAACAAGTGACACCAAGTTATTTGCTACAAGGAAGGGACAGTTACACAGATTTAGGAATAGGTTTGGACTGAACATAACAAAAATCACTGGAGAAGCTACAAGTTAAATTGGTAGGGGATTAGCATGATGAGGAAGTGGAAAAACTTGTGAAAGGGCATTGGGAAGTTTTAACAAATGAGTTGGAAGAACTTGTTTAGTAGTCTACAGAGAAAAAGGAAGGACAAAGAAGGAACTGAAGCAGAACCAGTAATGTGGACCCTTCTGAAATTTGCTGAAATATTCCAGTTGCGAACATTAAAAGGACAAAATTATGTACTATAATCCTCGGATAGAATACAGCATTATCCAAAGGATTACAACCTCTTCAGCAGTACTTCAATTAGTTAAAAAGAGACAATTTAAGATTACAAGGTTCTTCCAAAAGACTTTGACAGAATCAAAACAAAAACAGAAACCTTCAACTATGGAGTATCCTCACCCATAGGTATTGTCTGCTCCTGACATCTAACCATTGATGATGTCATGGCTCAGGCATCTAGGATCCCTTGAAATACATGCTCCATCTGACATGTCATCAGAAGGTCAATAATAGCTTAATGCTAAATCACAGTATATAAACCATTACTTCATTTCATCATGTAGACATTGTATTCTCTGCCATCATCACAAAAAGCAAGGTGAGTACAAGACAGGAAGATACTTTGAGATAAAGAGAATACATTCACATAACTCTTACAGCATAATGTTATGTTTCTCTTACTGTGCCTAATTCATAAATTAGACTATCATATATATGTAGAGGAAAAAACATGTAAAGGTATACACTAATCTGCAGTTTCAGGCATCCAGTGAGATTCTTGGAACATATTCCCCAACCAGAAGGGAAAACTGCCATATGTCTTTTGGCAGCATTTAAAGCTAAACAATTCGACATGATTCTTAGCCTTCATATTCTAATTATACAGTACTAGGAATGAGACTGAATGTAATTAGTGACCTATAACAGTTCAGTATTCACAATCAGGTAAAAAGTTGTCCCATAATTCAATCAGATTTTACTCTAGGGCTCAATTCTATTTTAGGAAATTCTTTTATTTTCAGTATCATGGTAGAAATATTTGAGTTGTAATGTTGCCTTTACTCACCATTTTATCAAAAAAGAATAAAAGAAATATGTCTACAATATAATTTTATGGTTGTGTCTTAGCCTCTGGCTTGCTGTTGTTAATGATGACAGCAATAATCTCGATATAGTTTCAATTTAGATTATATTCTTGTATTGTGTCATTGTAAATAGACTTTAAATTGTATACAAAACAGTGAATATTTTAAATAAGCTGTATATAACATATCCATTATCCTCTCCTGAGATTGTTCACAGTATTAAAAAGTAGATATTGTCCAGGGATTTAGCTCAGTGGCACTGAGCCTGCCTTGCAAGCTCACGGTCCCGATCGAAGTACAAAAACTACAAGTTCAATCCAGTCCAAAAAAAAAAACAAAAAAAACAAAAAACACAATAGGTGTTACTTGAATGAATTCTGAGGTAAAAGTATGCATGTAAAAACTGTCAAACTATTTCTGCGAATGTGTATAGTTGAGTGTTTTAACAGGTTCTGTATGTATTCATGATAAAATTACTCATCGGTGCTCTAAAACTGACTCTTTTCATGAGACTCTGAGCTCTCTTTTGATAAGATATAGATAATTTTTTTAAGTAAAATGGTTTTCTTTGACATAAATTTTGTTACAGATCAAATATTACATTCCAAAGCCATCATACAAGCTAGAGTTGTTCTCATTTCATTTTTAGATTTGCTTAAATAAAATTGTCATTATTTGTTTTTCTTTGTCTCTGGTTACAAGCTTTCAATTATAGATTTGTAAGAATGATTAGTTTTACATTAATATGAAATGTATTTTCTCAAGGAGATATGTTTGAATAGATTAAGATATATAAATTGAGCCCTGGGTTCTATGTTAGCTGTGTATGTCTGTTTTCTTGGTAGATTGAAAAGCGAACAGGGTGCATCCATGTCTTTTGTTTGCAGCATGTTCTAAATAAATGAAGCATTTTTATTTTAGCCACTTAATACAGAGCTCTCTTCCCAATAATAAAATGCTATTCTTCTTTCTTCCTTTTTTTAATTTGGTTATGGTCTTTATGGCTGTTTTATTTTCTAATAATATGATATTTTCCTTTATTTATGCTAGGTTTTTTTATTAGTCTATGTTTGTGATGCATAGTAATTACATTTGTTTTGGGAAACTAGTACATATATGTCATATCTTGATCATTTTATCCCCTCCCACTCTTCTTCATCTGCAAAGTATCTCCTTCCTTGTTTCCAATCACCTACTTTTATTTTGCTCTTTAAATTTTTTATACTTTGCTTTCTTGTGTAAGAGAAACAATGTGATATATAACCTGTGCCTGATTTGTTTTACTTAACATAGGAGTCCCAAGATCCATACATTTTCCTACAAATGACTGAAATTTATCCTTTGCTATTGCTGAGTAATACTTCATTGTGTACATATAGCACATTTTCTTTATTCATCTGTTGATGGGCTTTAAAGTTTTTTCCAAAATTTAGCTATTGTAAATTGTGCTGATATAAACATGAGTATGCATGTATCACATAATATGATGACTTTAATTCTTTCAGGAAGATACCCAAGAGAGAGATACCTGAGTCAAATGGAATTCCTACTTTTAGTTTGTTATTTTGTTAAGGAATCTGCATACTGATTTCTGTAGTAGTTGTACTAGTGTACATTCCTATCAACAATGTAGAAAGGTTCCTTTTTCTCCCACGTTCTGGCCAGCATTTGTTGTTTTTGTGCCCTTGATCATTGCATGGAGTAAGATTGAATCCCAGCATTGTTTTTATTTGCATTTCTCTAGTGGCCAAATATGCTAAGCATATTTTCATGTTCTTATTGGCCATTTGTACTTCTTTTGAGAAATGTTTATTTCAATTGCCCATTTTTTTGATTGGGTCTTTTGGTTTTAATGATTGGAGTCCAGTTTTTTTTAGTTCTTCATATATTCTAAATATCACTCCTCAAACCAGGTAGTAGCTGCCAGAATTGTTTCCCGTTCTGTAGGTTGGGCCTTTAGTCTGTTGATTGTTTCCTTTGCTGTGCAGAAGCTTTTCAGTTTGATTTAATCACATTTATTGGATCTTGGAATTATTTCTTGTACAATTGGTGTTCTGTTCAGGAAGTTCTTGCTTATTACTGTGTTTCAAGTGTTTCGCTTATTGTTTTAGCAGATTCGGTGTTTCTGTTTTAATATCTTAAGTCTTTGATCCATTTTGATTTGAGTACAGGATGAGAGGTACAGGTCTAGATTCTCTCTTCTGCATGTGGATAACTAGTTTTCCTGGCTGTCTTTTCTCTGATATACTGCTTTCTTGACTAATGCATTAAATGTACTTATCTTCATTGTAAATTTTTAGTTAAACACCAGTATTTTAAACACTAGTATTCTAGGCTAGATAGTGAGTTCAAGGCCAGCCTGGACTACACAATGAGACCGTATCTCAAAAATAAATAAATAAAATAAACATTAGTATTGGATTTCAGTAACCTGAGACCCAGAGAGTTCATTAGGGAAAACATGACTATTTACTCATTTTTTGTTATGGCTCTAAATTTGTGTTTTTGTGATCTTAGATCTCTTTTCTTTTTTAAATTTTCCTTTTAGCAAGTATTTTTGCTGTTGTCAGATATGGTATTACTGTTTTAGGAACACAATTTTGGAAATTTACACCACAAACTAGATGACCTAAAAAGCAGCAGTTTATTCTTTGGTAGTTTTGAAAACTTGAAATCTAATATGAAGATGTCAGCAGGAGCACGATCCTGAGAAGACTCTAGTGAAGTCTTCATTCTTTTCACTTCATGTCTGGCAGTTACCAGCAATCCCTGACATTCCTTGACTTATACTTATATCATTCCAGTTTCTGTCTTTGGTATTCACATGGCTGTCTTCTCTTTGTATCTGTGTGTCTGCAGATCTCCTAAGCCCACCAGTCAAGGAATTTGGACCTATCCAGTCTTGTATGACCCCATGTCAATTATGCTATTTCTAAATAAAGTCACCTCACAAGGTGTTAGAACTTGAATATCTAGTCATAGTAAAATCGCACATAGACTGAATATTTGGGAATAGTGAAGGCCTATGATATAAGCTTCAAGATGTAACATTTGCCTCAATCATTTGGAACTTGGCAAAATACCTTTAAAATTGCTGAACTTAATCATTGGTTTTGTATGTCCTTGTTTAGCTGTCTCTGGAGCATTGGATAATGTGAGTTGGGTTGCAGTGATGTCGACTCTCTGCCCGCCGCCATCTCCAGCTGTTGCCAAGACAGAGATCGCTTTAAGTGGTGAATCACCTTTGTTAGCAGCTACCTTTGCTTACTGGGACAATATTCTTGGTCCTAGAGTAAGGCACATTTGGGCTCCAAAGACAGAACAGGTACTTCTCAGTGATGGAGAAATAACTTTTCTTGCCAACCACACACTAAATGGAGAAATTCTTCGAAATGCAGAGAGTGGGGCAATAGATGTAAAGTTTTTTGTTTTGTCTGAAAAGGGAGTAATTATTGTTTCCTTAATCTTTGATGGAAACTGGAATGGAGACCGGAGTACTTATGGACTATCAATTATACTTCCACAGACGGAACTTAGTTTCTACCTTCCACTCCACAGAGTGTGTGTTGATAGATTAACACACATTATTCGGAAAGGAAGGATATGGATGCATAAGGTGAGTGGTTCTTCAGCTTATTAGTCATGCTAACCTTGTCAATGAAAATTTATTTTCTGCCGAGTGTGGTGGCACATGCTTGTAATCCCAGCACTCAGGAGGCTGAGGCAGGAAGAACACTGAGTTCGAGACCAGCCTGGGCTACATAGTGAGTTCCAGGTCAGTCTCAACTATGTAGTGAGACCCTGTCTCAAAAAAAGTTTATTTTCTGATATATTTATATCTGATTTTTAAAATTTACATGTATTTGGCTGGACATGGTGGCGCAGTCCTGTAATCTCAGTACTCAGGACGGCTGAGGCAGGAGGATCATTGGTAATTTAGTGACTTAGTGAGACCATCTCAAAATGAAAAAGAAAAAGAGGACTGGGGTTGTAGCACCACGTAAAGGCCCTGGGTTCTATCCTCAGTGCTGCAAAAAATTTTTCTTAATTAAAAAAAAAAGAAAAGCATTCAACACTAGATAATAGCTGTTCTTTATTGTGTATCCATCCTATTAGATACTAATAGATCTAGTCTGATGTTTACAATCTTCACAACAACTATGAAAAGTAGATGATTGTACTTCTACGTTACAAACAGAGAAGCCTAACACTGAGAAATTAAGAAACTTCTAAAGTTTAGATTCGTCTTGAAAGCCTCTGACTCTCAAATCTTTTTACTTTTCTTTCATTGTGTGTGACTTTGTCTTTCACTCATACTTACACTGGATTTAACAGTTCAATAGTTATTTCATAAGTTCTCAGCCATATAGCCTTTGTTCCCTGCAACAACTTTGCCAAGTTTCCATTGTAAGATGAAGAGGTTGGACCAAGTGGTTTCTAGGAGAAAGACCTTTTAATTTTGCAGATTAGAGTGTCCGACGTTTTGGTTTACCTGAGTTGCAGTGAGAGGAAAGAGTTGTCTTGAACCATATATAAAATACAAAATAATAATATAGTTAGCATATGTAAATGGGCTAGAGATTTAGCTCAGTGGCATCGCGCCTGCCTCGAAAGTGCAAGGTCCTGAGTTTAATCCCAGGTACTGCAAAAAAAATAAAATACATAAATACATAAACACACATAAGCAACAAAAATTCCATTTATAAAGAATCCTTTTACATATTTGATAATAACATTTCTATTATTAGCAATGTTGTATATGTAATCCTAGCAATATCATGAACAAAAAATTCGATATATTTTGTACTTCCTGTACCACAGCTGTTAAAAAGCTATTTTAACTTATACAAAATAATACCAGCCCTGCAATAAATTTTAAAATTTACATGTCTGCTTAATAACAATAAACACTTTATCTTCATAATGCGCACACATGTAGGTAGGTTGAAATAGTGCTGGTTAATTGCTGCATCTTACCAAGTTGCATATATTTTTTATGTGCATGCTTTGATCTGACTGTGTATGTGCCAGGCATAGAAGGTTGAGTTAGCATGGCACTGTGCCCTCCCCAGAACCCAGCACTCTGTTTCCTGTGTGCAGGACCTAGCACTGCACAATCAACTCATGTAAAAAAATTCCTTAAAGACCCATAATAATGTCAAAAGTTTATGATCTTTTGTAGCACCACATTGCTTGCATCGCTGCCTCTGTGTGGCTGCTGCAGCCCCTCGGCCTAAGCCTAAGCTTAGAGTTGCTTTCTGATGAATCCTATAGTTTAATACATAATGAATTATGTTTACATTTTGATGTACTTTTAGAATACCTAAAGAATAAATCAAATTCTTCCAGTTTAATACACAGACCATTAAAGCATTATTTTATAAGGCTTTTAACACATTGTAAGGAAAATAATTTTTTAAATAATAGCCTTTTACTATCTTTGCTGTCTCAGTTTATTTCTCATGTTTTTGAAAATCATTTAAAACAAACAAGCTCTATATTCCTCAGATTCAACTTAATCTAACAATTTGAAATATGCATCATTATATTCCTTTATTGCAACTGCAGGTGTTAAGTTGACTGGTTTCTGCTAAGTTATCTCTTTTTTCAGTACAAAATAAAGGATGTTTTGATTTTATCTTGTGTAGGGCTGGAGAACATGAGTTTGTTAGGTTTATTTTCTGCTTCCTTCTCTTATTCCCCTATAGTAGAAAGTATTTTTCCTTTGAACTAAGTTATACAACATGTCTACATTGAAAAATAAGCATGTGTGTCAAACTGTTAAATATGAATTTGCTTTTGCTTAGGAAAGGCAAGAAAATGTCCAGAAGATTGTCTTAGAAGGCACGGAGCGAATGGAAGATCAGGTGAAGTGCAAATTGCCTACTATTAACTGCCATTATCCCTGTGGTGTAGGTTTGTATAAGGCTGATGGCTACTTCTGTTAAGAGCTTGAAGATGACAGTTCAACAGTGAGCCTGAAGACGAATTATCTATATGGAGATGTATGAAGATGCATATGGATAAAAATTTCTGTATCTTACGCCTGAACAGTTCAATAAGTAAACAAAGGAGTATCGTAATTGCATATACATATAACTATTTTTTTTAGTTTGCAAAATAAGTTTGACATAACTGGTTCATAGTAAAAATAAAGAAGTGTATATGTGATTTTTTTGTGGGGGGGGTACCAGGGATCGAACTCTGGACCCTGCGCTTGTGAGACAGGCAGCAGCACCACTGAGCTAAATCCCCGGCTCATATATGTGATTTGTTTTTTAAAGTATTGTTTCTGAAACATTTCCACAGAAATAGGTACAACAGGAAGAGAGTGAGTGTACTCCTAAGTTATCTTTCTGGGAGTACAGCCCAGTTCTAGCCCAGTATTTCTTATGTGATATCTTTAAAAGTCATGCAGTTTATTTTTATTCCATGATATATTTATTTGTTTTAATATTAAAATTTGCCAATGATGTTTCTTACCTTATGTAACACTGACTCAAAAAATGTATCGTGCTAATCCAGTGACTTTGAATAACCTTGGGGAGTAGAACTAGAGTCTGAGAAGCGTGACAGCAAGGGCATGACTTCCCTTGTAGAAGTTAAACAAAGGTCATATCAGTGTAGGACAGTAGTTCTAAGTGAGACTGCTGTGGAGAGAGGGTTTTAACTGCTCCCAATCCCCTGGCATGCCACCCTCCCTCACTGTTCCTTGTAAAACTCCAGTCTTTTATACGTGGCTATGTTGCCTTTTCTCTGGTTCTGTGTAGCATGGTTGAGAGAAGTATACTTTAAAAAATAAATTTTAAGTATATCTGACTAGCTGGTAGTATAACCCAGAGGTAGATTACACAAGATTCTGGATTTGATCTCCAGCACCATAAAACAAAATAAAACAAAAACCTTGCGAAAACATGAAGGAAAATACATCAAGGAAAATACAAAACCCTGTAAAATGATCTTCTTTACAAAATTATTATGTTTGTACCTTTGTAATAGCTTTCCAGGCCTGGTGGAGCAAGGTCAATCAGTAAGAAGGGTCTCCTAGAGTCGGGCCACTCACCTACTTCTAACTTGATGCTTATGGAGTAAATTATCTCAAGATAAGGAAATACAGGAATACATAAAATGCTTCTTTTAGTGGGATTTTGTTTTTTCTGACCAGAAACCTGTATTTATAATATTGACTACTATTAATTAATTTCTGCCGGTCTTTTAAGGGCTCTTTTGGAAAATGTCCTTTTCTATGTCAGGAGGAAAGTATATTGGGACAGACTAGAGACTTTTAAGGCGAAATGTCATACTGAGAAGAAAAGGAAGTGTAGGAAGAAAAGAAACAGGGAATTTTCTTTTATAGCCTCTCCTCTATTCAGCTTTGTAAGATTGTTGTTGAGCATAGATGACAGTATCCATTCACTTAAGTAATGTTACGTCTGACATTCCATGTCCAAAATAATATATGTGCCTGAACCTAAGCAGGAATACTGTCACAAAATTAGCCTTTCTGAAGTGGAATTGCCTTATAATTGAGTCCTTGCACATCTCTTACTGTTTTCACTACCTTTATTTTGAACAATACACATTGCCTGGGAAATGATAAAAACTTTGGTCCTTACTAGTTGTGAATTCTTACAGCTCTCATCTGATAAAATCAACAAAGGAGGAAATTTAACACAGATTGTGTCATCTTTGTTGGACTGTTTGTGTTGCTTGTAAACATTTCAACAGTTACTTTTAGAAACAAAAACAGGTAATTTCTGGGGGTTATTATAAGATGAATTTTTTAAAATAGTAAAGCTGCTTATATTAGGCAGAAGCAATAATAGCTTTGGATAGGATTTTCAAAGGCAGCATAGATTATTTAAATGTTTAAGCAACCTACATGATAAGGGGCTTTGAAAACCTATGTTGCTCAAAAAATGGCTCTGGTGATGACAAAGGTTCTAAGTGGAAGATAAATATGAGGAGTTTGAATAAAATTATTTCATGAACGAAAGTAGGCAAAGAAAAACTCATTGAATTAACTATGTAATTTTAAAATATGTTTAGATAAAATTGATAAACATTTGACAATTTCATTTACATCTCTAAAAGTTTACATATTTAGGTTATTCATAAAATGATGGAGGTTAGTGAATAAATGAGGGTTTACCTATATTTGAGACATTTTATATTTGGGTTGTAAACTTGACTCCAGAAAATGTTTCAAAATTATATTTTTTGAGACATAATAGTTTAATGGATCTCTAAAGGAACCTCTCTGTTTCAGTGATTCTTAAGTTACATGTGATAATTTTCATTTGCATTTGGTTAGATTGTACCATTTTGGTTAGATTAGGGGGAAGTGGGTATTGGTTGAAGCTATAATAGTAAATTACATGGTAAGGATTTGAATGACTTTTTATAGTTGACTTGACTTTATTGTTGTTGTGGGTGGTAGTGATGCTGGTGGTACTGGGGACTGAACCCAGGGCCTTTGCTCTGAGCTACATCCCCCAATCCCTTTTTATTTTGGGACATTCTAATTAAATTGCCCTGGCAACGCTCAAACTTGTGATCCTCATGCCTCAGACTTCAAGAGTGCTGGGGTTACGTATGTGTACCACCACCCCTGACTTTACTTTCCTCATTTTCAAATAGGAAATACGTTGATGACCTTTAAAAGGAGAGCCTTTCTAAACTTCATATGTAATTTGTGCATGTAATGGTAGATGATAAAGCAATAACTCCATGCTCACTGAAGAAAATATTCTTGAAAAAATGAGAGTGAGTTTGAATAGCATGAAAGTACTTTAGAAATATTTTGGAGTAGTAAATTTTCAACAAATTACCAGGCATTCCTATCAAGGGTATTATTCTTTGCTTTAATTTTTAATTTTTTATTGCCCAGCTTATGCCATATTTTTGTGAATTTCTTTACTTTATTTTCCTTTATTGTGCAGGGTCAGAGTATTATTCCAATGCTTACAGGGGAAGTCATTCCTGTGATGGAACTGCTTTCTTCTATGAAATCACACAGTGTTCCTGAAGAAATAGATGTAAGATGTTATGGGGCAGTTGTATCCTTTTATTAGTTTCCTTAAACTCTACTATTGTGTTTAGTAATAATATTCTAATGTAAGTAGTATGCATTTTGTCATACTATTCATATGAAGTATTAGCCACAAACAAAAAAGCATACATATAATGCTCAGTTTTGTATGATCAAACAAAACTTAATGACTTAATGACTTTGCTCTCCTGATTCTGACAGCTAAGAAGAGGAAGAGGAAGTTGTTCTTGTAAAAACTGTTGCTTAGCTTGCCTTACTGGGTTTCACGTTTGTTCTTTTCAAATGTATAATAGGCAGAGATTGTTTTATGGGTATTCTTGATGCTCAGAAATGAAGGCAGTATGTTTTATTGAATCTAAACTTTAAAAAAACTTAAATATTAAAGGTGTTCTCTCAAAACTGTTATAGCCAGATTAACTTTTTTCTTTTTTTTGGTGTATTTTAGATAGCTGATACAGTACTCAGTGATGATGATATTGGTGACAGTTGTCATGAAGGCTTTCTTCTCAAGTAAGAATTTTGTTTCTTTTCCTAAATGCTGGCTGAGGCAGAAACAAATGTTAAGGTCACCTTATGACAAGTTTTGGAAGCATGAAAATAACAAACTGCCTACTTACACAGATTATTTTAGAGACAGCATTGCATAGTTGAGCTGTTGCTTACATACATGTTATTTTTCATTCACTTGTCTGATAAATCTGCTGTTATTCCTTTTATATTTTAAAGAAACTGAGTTCCCATAATGCTCACACAAGCAATCTTAATCCGTTAGCTTTCCATTAAAGCTAAAACTTAAGAAACCTTTCAAATTAAGTTGCATTGTAGAAGGGCTCGTTATTTAGGCCTAAGAATGGCCTTTTTCATCTGATCTTTTTCATCTAACTGTAGGGTTTAGAGTGACCTCTAAAGTCAGACTGCTTTGACAATGTTGGAAAAACTACCTGAAGTGCTGTGCCTGTACCTTCTCATTCGTATAATAATAGTACCTACTTTGCAGGGTTGCTGTGGATGTTAAGTGAGATAGATCACATGCAGCACTTAGAACAGTGCCTTACACATGAAGTCACTTAGTATTTAATAGCTGATATTTTCTAATTATGTTTCTAAAAAGTGAAAATATTAATAGCCACTATTTGTTGAGTGCCAATGTGTTAGTCTTTAATACCATGGGCTCTACATTTGTTATCTTCTGTTTTAGTATTTCTTTACAATTGCAGATTATCATGAATTTCTGTCTTTAAAAATGAGAAGTGAATGAACACAGTTTTCATTTTTGATATTGACATTCTTTTCCTTTAGCCGCAAGATGAAATATCAGAGGTATCACTATTTAACCTAAAAGTCTTAATGGTTTGAGTAAGAAGTACTTCAGTCCTTAATTTGCTAGTATCACCATTCATACATTATTTTGAATATGATTTGCCTTTAAATCACTTAACCTTTTTACACATCAGTTTGTTTAGCTATAAAAAGGTGCTATTTTACTAACCAACTGGGCTAAGACTTATAAGAGAAGTTCTGCAGCAGTCCCCTAGGAAATGAAAAGTTTCTTTATAACAATAAAAAATACCATTATGCCTATTGATGTTTATCAGTTAAGCTATTTGGAGTTATTTGAAACTCACTTTTTGTTTTGAGTTTGTGAAATTTTTTATAGCGATATTTTTAATCTGTTTTCATTAACCTGCAGTGCCATCAGTTCACACTTGCAAACCTGTGGCTGTTCTGTCGTTGTAGGTAGCAGTGCAGAGAAAGTAAATAAGGTAATTTACTTTATAATTAAGAAGACATTTTCACTTTTTAATACTCCTGTCACTGATTAATGTTTATATAGGTTGCAGTTCTTGAAATAGCCTAATAGTATAAGGTGGCAATATAGTCTCACCAAATTACTTGACAACCTTGTGGCAAAAATGAGTTTGAAGTAAACTGTAAAAAGATTTCAGTTATCAGTTTCACTTTGATAATTCACAAATACCAGTAACAGCTGTGTATAAATTATTTTGAGAATATTTCAAAATCACACATTCTTTTAAATGTTTTTCTTCTGTTTCCCAGTTTTATCTTTAATAAATATAAAATAGCCTAGCCATATAAATTTGTCATTACTCCTAAAAAATGACATTTGATCATTCATTTGACTTTTATTATGTTGACCATGCACACCCATGTACACACAATTCTGTCCCTTTTAGGGTGCTGTTGATACTGAATGGTCAGTGGAGATAATGCTTTCTTCAATTATGTTTTGGCCACTTTTTTCAGTGCGACTTGAGTTAATAAGGAATTAATAAGTTACATTTTTAAGCTTTAGGTAGTAAGCCAAGGAACTGCACTTTTCTTCACTATTAATTAGAAAGAATCCAGAGATAAGAGCTTATATCCTTATAACTTTAAGCCAACTTAATTTTTTTAAAAGTTTTACACAGGAAATATGTTGGGGATGACTCTTTGCTTTACAAAAGTATTATTTATTTATTTATTCTTTAATACGCTACCTTTAATACCTACATTACATTTAATCTTCCAAAATTACATTTCTCGTACAACTAATTATAAGTAAATAGTGTACCTTTCTAATTATATTGCATGTAAGAATTAGTGATCATAGATACTCCAAAACTGTGGCTTGCCATTTGTAATCCCCAAAGCCTGATGATTCTATAGAATTTTCAGTCTGCTTTACAAAGGGGGGACTGTGTTTATTAAACATTATTTTTGTCTTTCATCCACTTTGGATTGAATAGTTCATCTTTTGTCTTTTAATTTGAAAGAATAGTTGCTACTGCTCTTGTTCAAAAATCACTGCTTTAATATAATAGCTCTACATATAGTATTCCAATATAGGTACATGGCTGTTTTTTCTTTCTTTCTTTCTTTCTTGTTTTTTTTTGTACTGGGGATCAAACTTGAGCCCTTGCACTTGTGAGGCAGGCAGCAGGACCGTTGAGCTAAAGCCCCTGCAATATAGGTACATGCCTTTTTATTTTTCCTAATAGAACTGTAGGTCAAATACTGTTGGAGATTTTTAATCTCTTACCTACACCTGGCTTATTTTAAATCAGATTTGATAGAATTCTCTTTTTATGGAAGAGTTTGGACACTCCTTGATTTTTGTTACAGTGGGTTTCTCATGTAGAACTATTATAACAGAAACTATAATTTTGCCTAATTTAAATACATTTAATTTTCCTCTCTCAAGTTGTTTGCTTGCATTAAAAACAGTTATTGCTGGGTAGAGATGCAATCAGTCATTGTATCTGATCATTATTTCCCACTGAAATAGATTTCATAGTCAATCATGTTTGAGAAAGGCTACTTTACATATTGTATTATTCACCTGGAGAAGCACAATATATACTCAATGTTACAGGTTTTAAGATACCATACAGTTAATATTTAGCTACAGAAACGCACTTTTTAAGCAGTATTACATTGCATGAACTGTTTCAGTGACTTAACAGTGACTACTTGAAATACATTTTATTGATAACAATAAAAATACCTACTTAAATTTATTTTGTAAGCAAACCATTGGTCTTTAGACTTCATATTTTAATGCCGAAATCTTTTCTTTTTTAGATAGTGAGAACATTGTGCCTTTTTCTAACACCAGCAGAGAGAAAATGCTCCAGATTATGTGAAGCTGAATCATCATTTAAATATGAGTCAGGGCTCTTTGTTCAAGGCCTGCTAAAGGTACACTTTCCACTTCTCACAAGTGAAACCAGTTTTTTAAAATAATGTTTGAGACTTTGTAAAAATATTTTTTAGTATTTAATGTGTCTCAATTATATGCCCAGAGACTGCCTTCCTTTACATAGTTCTGAGCATAGAGTATGTGTTTTGGATTTATAATTAGTATCATAGGTGAAATGGCACGGAGTATCCTTTTCCAGATGGCTCCACAGCTAATGTTTAGCCTTAGGATTTTTGTTTCTTCTGAATTCATGCTTGACTCGGGGTGTACCTCTAAAATGAGAACATTTCTCTCTACTGAGCAGATTTGAATTTTTTATTTACTATTTTGTGTTTATATAGTATATTCATTTATTGGAAAAAAATGTAAAGTACCTTTATATATAGGACTTGAACAATTCGTATCTAAATGTATTACATGCACATAAAAAAATGTGCCTTTCTAATATATATTAGAACATTTTTAATATTTATTTAATTAAGGCACATTTACTTTTCAAAGACCAAAACAGATAAATGCCAATTAGTGATTATTTTAATAACTAAAAAGAAAACAGTTCATTGTATTAGATCTGTTATAGTCAAGATGTAAAAAAATAGCTTTCCTAATGATTGTATGATTCTCTTGTAATAAATGCTTTGTTGAGAATGTAGATGTAGTAAAATGAATTAGAAGCTTTCAAAAATTATTGCAAAGGCCCAAAATAATTAGATATTTGGTACATGTGACAGACCCACAACATAGTCATCTAAGATCAGGAATAAGATAAGGATGCCTGCTTTCACCATTCTCAACTAAACTAGTGTCGAAGTCTTAGCCAGCAAAAAAGCAAGGAAAAGAAGTAAAAGGCATTCAAATAACAAAAGTGGAAGTCAGGTTATCCCTGTTTGTAGATTTTACATATAATTGAAAAAAACCTGAAAGACTTCACAAAAAAACTGTTAGAACTGATAGACTGAGTAAGGTTAAAGAATACAAAAATCAACATACAAAATGAATAGCATTTTTTATGTACCAAGTACAAAATTGCCAAGAAAGAAATTAAGAAGGTAGTAATAGATACAAAATAAATAAGCAAAAAATCCCTAGGAATAAATTTAATGAAGAAAGTAAGTGATCTCTATGATGCAAATTACAAAGCCTTAATGAAAAACATTAAATATAGCCAATAAATGGAAAGGCATCCAATGTTTATGAATTGGAAGGATTAAAACGTCACATTACCCAAAGCAATCTACAGATTCAATGCAATTCTTCTCAAAATACTAATGATGTTATTTGCAGAAATAGAAGATAATACCCTTAAAGTTTCTGTGGAGCTGTAAGACTGAATAGCCAAAGCAATCCTCAGCAAAAAGAACAAAACTGGTAGGATAATAATACCTAACTTCAAAACATACTACATAGTGATAGTAAGCAAAACATCATGGTAGTGGCATAAAAATAGACACATAGACCAGTGAAACATAGAACCTAGAAATAAATCCATGTATTTACAGCCAACCAAGGTGTTTGTTTTTTTGTTTTTGTTTTTGTTTTGATACTGGGGATCAAACTTGGGACCTTGCTCTCACAAGGCAGGCGGCAGCACCACTGAGCTAAATCCCTAGCCCTCAACTGAATTTTGATAAGGTCACCAAGAGGATGCACTGGAGAAAGGACAGTATTATGGTTTAAGTCTAGATATCTGCCTAAAACCTCATGTAGTCATTGGTGAGACTTTTGGAAGCGATGAAGATAATGGGATTATATGGCATAGCTGACTTGCTGTTAGGAGGCAGCATGTTAGGGTATGGTTGGAAGAGGCTGGTTACTGGCAGCATAGACTAGAATGGTTTAGCTCCATCTCCAGCTCCTCCCTTCACTCTCTGCTTCCTGGATGCTTCCTACCATGCTCTTCTGTGATGCTCTTTCCTTCTTTGTAGCCAGTCACCCTGGACTGAAACATAAGCCAAAATAAGCCTCACCTCCTTTAAGTTGGGGTTGTTGAGGAAAGTCACTAAGATAATCGCTAATGAATGGTACTGGGAAAACTGAGTATCCATATACAGAGGAATGAAACTAAATCACTGTTTCTTACCAGATATGAAATCAACTTAAAACAGATCATATACTTAAACATGAGATCCTAAACTACAAAACTGTTAGAAGAAAACAAGAGACATCTTCCAGGACATTGCTATTGGCAAAGATTTTTTGATCAAGACTGTAAAAGAATAAGGAACAAAGAAACATTAACAATGAAATTACATCAAACTGTTAGCCTTTGCATGGCAAAGGGAATAATAATTGAAGAGAACAATAGAATAGGAGAAAATATTTGCAAACTTTATCAAATATTAATATCCAGAATATGTAAGGAACTAAATCACTGGCAAAAGCAAAAAACAAGCAAATCAAAGTTGCCCAAATAATCTGATTTTAAAATGATATGAACAGACATTTCTCAAAAGAAAATATACAGATGACCAACAGATATATGAAATAATGCTCAACATCACTAATCGGAAATACAAATCAAAACCTCAGTTGAGATACCATTCTTATTTCAGGTAAAATGAGCATTATCAAAAAGATAAATCACAAATGCTGTCAGGGATATAGAAGAGACCCCCTCATGCATTGTTGGTGGAAATATTAATTACCATACCATTATGGAAAATAGTGTGGAGTTTTCCTCAAAAGATTAGATAATAGAAATGCAAAATGATCTAGCAGTTCCACTACTGGGTATATACTCAAAGAAAATGAAATGCGGATGTCAAAGAAACATCCAAACTCACACATTTATTGCAGCACTATTTATAATAGCCAAGATATAGACTTAATTTAGATGTCAATTGATGGTTGAATAAAGAAAATGCAGTGTATTATATAGAGTGGAATATTAGTTACAAAAATGACATTCTATTATTTGCTGCGCTATAGATGAAACTGGAGGAGATTATGTTAGAACTAAGTTGGGCACAGAAAGATAAATACTGCATGTCATCATTTGTATGTGGAAACTAAAAAATTGCTCTTGTAGCAAAAGAATGTTGGTTTTCAGTTTGGAAAGGGTGTGGGGAAGAACGGATAGGCAGAGAATGGTTAATGGGTACAGGGATGTAGTTTGATAGGAGGAATAATTTCCACTGTTCTATAAAACAGTGGAATAAGTACGACAGCAATCAATTGCGTATTTGAAAACAGCTAGTAGAGTGTGTTCTCAAGGAAAGGAAGTATCTGAAGTGAGGGATATTCTATCCCGATCAGAGCATTGCACACTGAATACATGTATTTAAATGTCATTTTGTACCCCATAAGTGTGTACTGTTACTGTGTGTCAATTGAAAGTAAAAATATGCTTTAGAAAATTGTTGCAGGTGAAAGTCCAGCTTTTGGTTTTTCAATAATGTGTCCGCTCTGAACTCAGAATAATGGTATTTAAATACAGAATCTAAAAGAAGCATTTCTAATTTGAATTTTGTAAATCTGAAAATGAGTACTTCTTCCTATTAAAGGCATAATGAAGTACTTAATACAATTATTTCTTCAGTACCTTTTCATTTAATAATATAATTTTAGTCCTGAAAAAGACATACCAGATGCATATCAGAAAACTTGAAACTATGATTTGGTGAAATACTTAGTTTACCGTGCAAATATGTGTAGCCTTATATAAAATACCTTGACACTGTACAGAAATGCTTATAACAGCATTATAAAAGTGAAAGAATATAAATGACCTCTTTTTTGTTGTAAAACACAGCACAGTACTTCATGTACAATAGGTGTTTGTTATATGGTAACTGGCTACCTGGTTAACTATACTTAGAACTAAATGTTTAATTACAAAAATATACAGTTGCTTAGATTTTAAAAGACCTTTTAATAATCAAGAAAAAAGTTAATTTCAATTTCACAATTTGGCAAATTACACTACTAACATTTGTATATACCTTTTTTTAAAATTCTGTATGTCTTTTCTTCAGCCACCCCCCCAACTAGTTTATATACTGTATGTTCTATTCTTATCTTTTTACAATATACTGTAAATTTCTTTCAGTTTTAACACAGTTTGAGTGACTTTCAGTAACTAAATAATAAACCTATATTTATGTAACCACTACCCTTTTTGGGTGCTTAGGATATTTCTGATTTTTGCTGATTCACAGAAATGTAGTGAACACTGCTTATTGCTAAGACATGACACACAATCATGGCAAATTTCTTAGATAAACTCAAAGCCAGGTTTTAATTTTAAAAAAACTTTTCATATCACGTGGTATATAAAGCAGTATGTCTTCCTTTCCTTTTGACAGGATTCAACTGGGAGTTTTGTGTTACCTTTCCGACAAGTCATGTATGCTCCATATCCCACCACACACATAGATGTAGATGTCAATACTGTCAAGCAGATGCCACCTTGTCATGAACACATTTATAATCAGCGGAGATACATGAGGTCAGAGCTGACAGCATTCTGGAGAGCCACTTCCGAAGAAGACATGGCTCAGGACACAATCATCTACACAGATGAGAGCTTCACTCCCGATTTGTATGTAATTCTCTACCTGTCCGTATCATTGTCACACAATATGAAACTGTCTTTGATGAGTAAAAATGAAACAAATTACTTGTAAAAGGAAAAAATAGGAAAGAAATATTACTAGTACTTGAAGAAAAATTTTATCAACCATTTTTTCCTTAAATGTTCGTGTTTTACATGTAATTGTGTTTTTGCAAAAATAGGGTAAAACTACAAAAAAAAAAAAAAGAGAGAGAGAGAGAACCAAGACATATCATGTAAAGGTACAAGATTCCAACGATAAATGCAACTGTATTGTTAGCTTTAAATGTACCAATAAGCTTAATGGGAAAAAATAAGTAGGGTAAAAGTAGCCTTTAAATATTAGTTGTTAAAAATATATTGCGCTTCTAAGTCCTGTACTAAGTGCTGGGGTCCATCATGGTCAGTCAGATAGCCCTAGACCCTGCATTGCTTCAAGTCTAGTGTGAACAGACTTATTAACTAAACTAAAGTAATGCTATGTCTTTTCTTCTTGTGTATGAATATAAAATGTATGGTGACTGAAATTATTTTTAAAGGGTTAAAATTAAAAATGCTTACAGAGTTGGGGTGTAGCCCAGGGGTAGAGTGCTTTTAGTGTGCCTGTGTCTGGCACTTATATGTTCTGAAGACAGAAAAAGAATTGTAATGTACCATTAGGTTTCTCTGGTATCAATTAAAGTGCTTGAACCTAGTGCTGACACATAAAATGTACTCAAAAAATGTTAACTGTAGTAATCCATCAGTTGATTTGAATCAAGGAGTCCTTTCTCGTGTTTTTAAGAAAAAAAATTGATTCGAGGCAACAGTCATGTAGAGCACCAATAGCCACAGTAAAATGTTGACCAAAAGTACAAAATCAGAGCATTATGTACAAGGGACCCAACCGTGTATGTATGTAGATGCAGAGAAGATGATTCAAGTAAGGCCCAGCTTTCCTGTTCCCCACTATTCTTATTGATTGCTTAGAAAGTTTTAGAGGAATTACTTCAAAAAATGAATTGGCCAAATTGAAATGACATTTCACTGAGTTTTCGCATATTGGTAATATTGGCACATGCATAGACAGTTTCATCTTCCCTGAAGATGAGAGAATTTAGTGAAATTCAGAGTGGATTTTTAACCATTCAGTAGTTTGTTTTATTTCATAGATATGTTTGTTTTGCTAATTTGGCAAACTATGATTGATCTTGTTTTTCTTATCATGGCATGAATTTTAAAATTTTGTTTCCAGCTCTAAGTAAACATTTTGAACATAAAATTGTTAAAAATATCTTCAACAACAAGACTATGTGTTAACTTTTATTCATCATCGTCTTATGTGACCATTTTATGTATTTTAAACAATATTATTCGCTTGTAGATTTTTTTGTTGAGGGGTTGGCATTTGTTTTTGCAGTGTTCCATATCCAGTGCCAGACACAGACACCAAAATCACTCTAGCACTGGGCCACACCCCCACGCCTTAAATTATTTTTAATTTTAACTCTTTAAAAATATTTCAGTCACCAACAGTACATTAAAATTCAGTCACTTGAAATACTCATTTTTAGCACTTTGCTTCATCCAGTTGTCTTATGATTGGGATATTTGTTCAGTGAAATAGAGCCACAACACTGGACTTAATATCTCCAGCTGCTCTCTAAAACCTCAAAAGTGGTTCTGTCATTGCCTAGCCAGTAATTGGAAAATGTTGATATTTTTTCCTCTTTTCAATTTTTTTCTGTAGTTCAATGTACTGTCTCCTAAGACTATGAAATTTAAGGTGCTTTCCTACTTCTGCACACACACATCCTCTTTCTCTGCCAGTCCTATGAGTTACTTGATGACATCTATTGTTTTTAGTCCTTTAATTTAAAAATCACTTACCTTAAAAAAAATAAAAATAAAAATCAGTTACTTTAATGAATATTATATTGCCCTTCTGACCTGAATATAACCTACAGAAGATGTATGACAAATAATAAAAGAAGGGTGAGTCTTGAGAAAGGAACAATATTTTGTTTTGTTTCGCACTTGCTGTATCCTAAGTGCTGTGTTAGACACAAATTATCTCAAGTGGGCATTGTATCTTCTCACTGTGTTCATTGCCAAAGCAGGTAGCACCTTTGTGGGCACCACTTCATGTTACTTTCACAGGTACATTGTCCATTATCATCTGGATTTATTCCTTGATCCCACTCAGATGTTTCATAACATTTGTCCTTGGTTCATTTAAATTTGGTAGTAGTATAGTATTGTTGTTGTTTGAGGTGCCAAGAATTGGTGATTATATTATTAGTTGTCTGAGACTCAACATTATTTTTTACGAGTGTTCCAAGATTGAAATAGACATACCCTTCCTGGGGACTGCTTATACTTTTTAAAGAAAACAATTAAATTTTAGCCTGACAAACACAAATAATATACAAATATATCTTTTAGTCAAAGTGAACATATCATACATCTGTATATATAGCATGCATCTGCATATCTATATCTGCTGGGGATCAGCCTCATGGATAATAAGTATACAGCCTACTACTGAGCTGTATGCCAGGTCCACATATCTATTTTCTATCTCCAAATGTATGAATTTATATTTTTTCAGGAACATTTATATATAATATCCTATTGATAAGAATTGAACTTACTGACTAGATAGGAGGTTTGTAGAAAGCAGCACTGTATAATAATTTCAATATTTGGGCTTTTTTCTTTTCCTCATAGGAATATTTTCCAAGATGTCTTACACAGAGACACTCTAGTAAAAGCCTTCCTGGATCAGGTAATTGTATAACAGACATTGTCAGAGTGGATGATATGCCATGCTTTCTTTTATAATACACCCTACAAAAGCTGGATGTGGTGGTGCATGCCTAAAATCCCAGCTACTTGGGATTGTCTCAAAATAAAAATAAAACAGCTAGCACTATATCTTGATAGCAGGGAGCATTTACATAGCATGTACAAGTACCTGGATTCATCTTCAGTACCACCAAAAAAAGGAAGTTCTATAAGGCCTATACCATACATTATATCCTATACCATGTACATATGCATACATATATACATGTTACATAGATTTAAGTCTTTATCTTTTTTAGTGCCTATGGCCTTTTCAAGCTCTAAATGATTTTTTAGAATTATTTTTGGGTGGCTGGGTATAGTGGCCAACACCTACAATCCCAGCACTCAGGAGGCTGAGGCAGGAGGATTATTGTGAGTTGGAAGTGTAGCTTGGACTACATAGTTCAAAGCCATCCTGAACTATATAGCAAGACTGTATCAAAAAAAATTATTTCTAGGCAATAGCCTATACACTAACAATTAAAGCTTCAGCATTTCCCATTCAAATAAATATTTTAATTTCAAATACAGTACTACCCTGTAACTCAAGGGGTTTTTATTGATTGGGTTTTTTTGTTTTTTGTTTTTTTTTTGTTTTTGTTTTTGTTTTTTTGTTTTAAAGGGGAAGGGCGTGTTATTTGCCTTACATTGAAAAATTGTCATTTATTTAAATGATAGCATGGTAACTTGCTCTTTTGTGTGTGTGTGTGTGTGTGTGTGTGTGTGTGTGTGTGTGGTACTGAGGATCGAACTTGGGTCCTTGTGCTTGCAAGACAGGCTGCAGAACCACTGAGCTAAATCTCCGGCCCAGTTACTTGTTCTTTTTAAAAATACCTACTCAGTGACACAGCTGAAGAAAATGGTAGAATATATGGGACCTATTTCATAATGTAACAGCTTTGTCATAAATCATTCTGGGACCAGGCTGGAAACTTTGTCATAGATGCAGCTTTAGAATAATGAGACCCTTACACTAAATAAGAAATTTTAGATCCAGATCTTTGTGGTCTGTGACATATTGCAAAGTTCAAAGATAAGTGGTAGTCATGTAGGTCTGTGTTTCTCAATCTGAAGTAAAGTCCCTCCCATCATCACTCCTATATCATTCTCCTTAATAATACAGATACAGATATACAGGTATTTAAAAATCATAGTTAGGCCCGGGGATTTAGCCCAGCAGTTCTGCTGCCTGCCTCGCAAGTGCAAGGACCCAAGTTCCATCCCCAGTACCAAAAATAAATAAAGTCATAGATAAAGTATAGCGCAGCTTCTTGAAATGTTGATAATACTTAAGATTTGGGTGGAAAGTTAGGTAACACAGTATGAAATAACTTACATAATGACTTTTCATAATAAAAATAAATATGGACATATTTGGATGTAGAATGCAAAATTTGAGTACATTTGTAAAGCTAAAATAGAAGAATTAAACTGTCAGCATGCTGCCACCACTCTCCAGCCTGTTAGGCATGAGTGGGAATGGAATGGCTCTCCTGTCCACAGCACATTGTCCCCACTGTCCTGGGAACTTGCTGTGTAAGCACAATGGAAGAAAACTATTGAAATGGTTCGCTTTCCTGCAGGTCTTTCATTTGAAACCTGGTCTGTCTCTCAGAAGTACTTTCCTTGCACAGTTTCTACTCATCCTTCACAGAAAAGCCTTGACACTAATCAAATATATAGAAGATGATACGTGAGTAAATGCCTTATAAGGAAGAAAAACCTTTGTACATTGTGGGGTTTTGTTTTAAATGTTTATTACTATTTTTTTTTTTTTTTTTCATTATTCGTAGGCAAAAGGGAAAAAAGCCCTTCAAATCTCTTCGGAACCTGAAGATAGACCTTGATTTAACAGCAGAGGGCGATCTTAACATAATAATGGCTCTGGCTGAGAAAATTAAACCAGGTCTGCACTCCTTTATCTTCGGAAGACCTTTCTATACTAGTGTACAAGAAAGAGATGTTCTGATGACTTTCTGATGTGTAATTCGTTAGGTATATTTCATCACAATCATGATTGTTATTACAGTAGCTCAATGTGGTAAATATCACTTTCCCTGGTCGCACCTCAGCATCCTACTCTGCATTTGTGGTTAAAGTTAGTTTCACTACAGTTGTCACAGAGTGGTGTGTATCATTACATTGAGTGTCTCTTTTGTGTATATATACTCTTTTCAAGATTTATGTTTACAATTAATAATATTATTGCTATCTTCTATAGATACAATAATAGGATACAAACTTGACCACAACTGCTGTTTCTGAAATTCATGATTCATCGTTTACATATATCAAGGTGAAAACTGAGTGAGCTTTTACAGATATAATACTAGTAGTTGACTTTCCATCTTTTGTTGTTTCTTGGTGTATAAGATTACTGTAATACTTTTACAATCAACTGAAAATTAGCACTCTTAAAGTTCCCAGTTCCGCACAAAGAACTGAAATATCTTGAATATAATTTAAGTTTTAGGAAGAAGATATTGATGAAGCAGGTTTTTTATTAAAATTAATTATTAAGTCTGAGTTAGGATTCGGTCTGTGTAGAAGTGCCAGGCAGTTATGTGTAGCCAGTGATTATGGTGAACCCTAGTGTATTTTTTGTTTGTTTATTGTTGTCAGTATCCTAGAGCTGGACAATATCTAAGAATATAGGATATTGATTTTGTTTTAGTTGTTGCCAGTTCTCAACAATAATTTTCATTTCCTTGAGCCAGACTGAAACATGTGCCTCCTGTGCCTTTTTTTCCCTTGGAAAATATAATTACTCAGAAGAAATTCAGATTTCACTGGTTAGTCGTTTCAACCTTGTTTCCCTCTTGCAGAATATACCATGTACCTAGTTTGACAGTTATTATAACCCCAAGATTATAAAATTCATCAGAGAATCCCCTAATAATATCTTTTTTTGAGGACAACAGAAAAATTCCTTTTCTTCTTCCTTATATTCTGCCCGTGTTTTTGAAGTGATTGCCATGTTGCCTGCATCACATAAGAACAGCCGGACAAACTACTGAAATACTATTTTCCTAGGTGCTATAATGGCAGAATTAACTGGCCTGTGTCTTTGGTTTCTTTAATGTGTTTTGGCCTCTTTTTTTGGCTATAAAATAATCTGATTAAAGTAATTCTGTGCTTAGAACAGAGTTGGTATACGAGTACACAAATTTTTATTTAAAACTGTGAAAGTAATATGAAAGAGAAAACATTTATAAAAAGGGATAAAAACAATAGAGCCCTTCTGCCCTCACCTACCAAGTTTAATAAGAAAGACATGTTTTATTCTGAAAGACACATAATAGTTTTCATACAATGAATCAGAAACATCTAGATATCTTAATTTTCAGATATACACTGAACATGACAGTATCATATTATGTATATCTCAGTCATAAAAATACGTAGATAATGTACTACTGTTTAATATCCCATTCTCAATGCTTTTTACATAAAATTCTTTTTTGTACATAACATTCTTATTTAAGCACTATTTTCTTTTTCTGGTTTTATTATATTAGAATAAATTGTACAGTAAAATAAGTTATTAAAGCATATGTAAACATTGTTGTATATCTTCTGGATGGAGAATTTTAAATAAAATATCTTTGAAAGTTTGTCCCTTTCATTGTTTATTCAGGCAAAGCACTACTATGATATTAGAATACTGATTAGTTTCCTGTTCAGCTCACAGTTATGTTGGATCTGAACTTTTTTCATTAAAAAAAGTGCACAGCTGTAATCCCAGCACTCAGGAGGCTGAGGCAGGAGGGTCGCTGTGAGTTTGAGACCAGCCTGGGCTACATAGTGAGTTCCAGGTCAGTCTCAACTACATAGTGAGAACCTGTCTCAAACCCCCCCCACCAAAAAAAAGAAAATATATTTCAAGCTTTTATATGATTTTGGATTTTTATATGGAGTCTTACAAGTTTTTATTTTAAAGCTTTCTGTTTAACTTCTAGGGTTGCATTATGATTTTTCAAATGATGTATTATTTGCAATGTAAAATACTTAGATAAATTCTTTCTTAAAATTCCTGTTATAATATTATTATAACCTAAACTGAAATTACTCTTTCCATGTATCTAATACATGTAACCAACATAAAAGTCCAAGGAATCTAAATGCCTTAATCTAGAAAGCAAAAAGTAGGTTTGAGATTTGCATTCCAAGAAAAACACTTCATTCATAAACTTGCCAGTTGATTTGAAAGACTTAACACTTTACTTATGGCTTGAACCACTGTTGGTGGGACATGCAGGGCTGTCACATTGGGCAGCCACTGCCCAATGGAACAATTATGCACATCCAGTCCTATCGTGAACTTGTTAAAGTGCAGCTGATTTATTGCATTGGGATTCTCAAAAAAAATCATATAACACTATAAAGTACAAATGAAACCATACAGTTCTTTGGTTAGTAACAAAAACAGTTACTAACCCTTAATTAACACAACATTGCACACTGGACTCTGCTTCTATCATCACAATAATATTACTAGGCTGGTTTTTATCAAACATGTAAGGAAACTGAAGCTTAAAGAGGTATAATTTGCAGGCCATGTTCACGTAGCAAGTTGGATTTTATCCCCAACAGTTACAATAGTTCTGGTGCCACATAGCACCTAGCCCAGTTTCATTAGTATTCGGTGGTATTAAATTAAAAGGGACAGAAAACAAACAAGTACTGGATCTACTTGCACTCTCTAGTCCACATGTGTGGATCCCTGCTGTGCTCTTTCAACTTCTCCAAGGTTCTTTAAATTTTTTATTATGACAAAATATTTTTTATTTTTTATAATGAATTAATTAATTAGGGTTCATTGTGATATTCCCAAACATGCATACCAACATACACTGAACAAATCCAACCTCCCTTTAACTACCCTCCTGCCCCCCACCCTTCCCAAGTTCTATTACTGTTCTATGTGCAGGTTGATTTTATTTATTTATTTTTCTGCTTCCATTTGAGATGGAACATTCAGTACTTGTTTTTCTGTCTGTCTTTTTTTTTTTTTTGCTTTGCTTTGCTTTTCTTTTTTCGGCACTGGGGATCGAACTCAGGACCTTGAGCTTGGGAGGTAGGCAGAGGCACCACTGAGCTAAATCCCCGGCCCTGGCTATTTTCAGTTAGCCAAATATCTTCCAGTTCCTGTCAGTTTCACCCATTTTGCTGCAAATGACAGTTTTTGTTTTTTTTTTTTGGTACCAGGGATCAAACTCGGGACCTTGCACTTGCGAGGCAGGCAGCAGAACCACTGAGCTAAATCCCCAGCCCGAAAGTATTTTGTTTCTCTTTTCGATAATTTGTATTAATCTCATGTCTCTATAAATTTAGTGTTAAAATATTTATATGTATAAAGTTTTTCCTTTCCTGAAGTCTGTATACATTTTTTTGGTAAATGCTGTCTATTTTTTGGTCACATTTATTGCATTATACCTTGTCCATCTCTCTAGCTGTGCTAGATAACAAGATCTATGTTTTTTTCATTTTTGTATGGCATTGCCTAGCAAAAATTTCTATCTTAACAAGCGCTATTTAGTTTCCAAGTTTTTCAGACTCTCAGTTATCTGTCGTTGGTTTGCTTTGGGGTGCTGGGAAAGGGGTATGCTTCCAATATACATTAGCTGAATAAATGTAATGAGTATAATAAGCATTATATTCTTCTGTGAAAAGTAATTTCCTGCAAATTGATGAAATTACCCTCATTATGTAATCAGCGACTTTCCCCCAGAAAGTCCATTGAAACTGAACAACATATCTCTAATATTTCAAAGATCTTGGGCAGTGATTTTTTCAATCTACTTGAAGTAGTAACGTATCATTTTCTGCTTTTGCATTTCACTATCATCTATTGCTGAAATATTTTTTTAAATAATAGGTTGATAAATTGCAAAGTACTTTTCATAAAATTGATTAGAACAATGGTAAGTATCCATTAGAGTGTGGACATTCAGGAAATCTGATCTAGTGTTGAGAAAATTATTCCTGAACTCAGAGTTGGCTCCAGCTGGCACCTTCTGGCATTTGTGGGTGGGGAAGGTGGAATGCTTTGAAAGCTGAATGGATTTTTCAAGTGTAACATTCCCTTATGGCTAAAGGAAAACAATATTCATTATTTGAAAACACCATTGTTTGTTTTGCTTTTCTATTCTTAGGAGCCCAAATCTGCAAAAGCACACAGATTTTTGCTTCATGTACCTCCCTGTGATGTTTCTGGAGATGTGAGGGATGTGGAAACTTCTGCATTGTGCTTGTTCAGAATGTTCAGAACAAATTTGAAAAAGTAATTTTTACTGATCATATGCTATGGTGAAAGATTGTATTTGTTTGTCACTGTGGACAAATAGACTCTTTGGGAACAGGGGTCTTACACCAAAACATCCAAGGCTGAAGTCTGTTTTTCTATTTGCCAGCTTTCTGACCTTAAACAAGGTATTCATTCTCCGCAGTACCTCAGTATCCTCACCTGTTCAATAGGAATAAGAACAGAGCCAGCATCATAGGATTGCTTAAAGACTAAGTGACTCAGCACACGCAGAAAGCTTGGATGAGTAACTACAGAATAAATGCTCAATAAGATTGTTTTGCAGCTATTACCTTCATGATTACAATCAGCAATTAAATGTAGAGTTTCCATATTTGATTACCAAAGTAATTCTACAGTCATACTTTTAGGAGACACTTCCTCGATAACAAGATTATCTTATTAGCTCGAACACATCACTACCTCCCTCACTGCTTTGAGCAGAGAGCACTGCCTTAGGTGAAAGTCATTCTGAGAAATGAGAGTAAATACAATTATTAGTGAGTGGCCTCATCCTGTTTCTAAAATCTGTCTAGTTTATTCCATCCTTACTGCCACTGTTAGGACCTTACCATTTTTCACCCTGATTCAGCATCTTCCCTCCTTTGTGATTTCACTCCCTCACCACCCCATCCATTTGCTCAGTCCTTTTTCTCTGCGAAAGCCAGTATGATCTTTCAGATATAAAACTTGGATTGCTTCACTCTTAGAAACCCTCAGTGACAACCTTTGGGATCTGACTGCAATATATCTCTGCCCCTTTTTCTCTCATAACTCTCATGTGGAGCCCTAATGAACTACATGTAGTTTTCCCAGTGCTTGCCTTGCTGTCATCATTGAACCTCTGCACATGCTGCTCTCACTACCTCATTCGCACCTCTTTTTTGTCAGGATTCACGTTGGGTGTCATATTCTTCCAGTACCCTCCCCAAGCTTTAGCTTTGAAATATTCCAGATTTTAAACTCCATAAGCTAGTGTCATACTCTGTGTGATGATTTATACCCAATCTGGCACATGATGCTTTTATTAAATACATGGTAAATTAATTGCCCTCAGGGCTTGTGTTAGTTTCTGTGTATAGTCTACCATAGCACTTAACTCATTATGAGTTTATTTTCCCATTAGCCGGGTCCTTGTACATCACTGAAGCCCCAACTTTCAGGATAATGCCTGCTGTGAATGGAAGTCAGTAAGTTACGAAGGAACAAATGAATCAATGTGTATTATATACATATTGTTAATATCCTATTTAAATTTGCCCCACATTCAGCAAAGGAATTTACAAATTTCCCTCAGGTTTCTTCTATGTTATCCCAGTGATAACCACTGAAAGTATAACAAAAGTTTGCACGTTTCTGAGTGATGGGTTTTCCCCATACACTTCACATGTGTTTCCAGAACTTTCATCAGATTGTTAAAGGGATCTCTGCTTCTCAAAAGATAGCAGTCCTAATTGTAATCCCAGGTGGATGAAGTAAGAGAATCAAAAATCTGGGGCCCACCTTGGCAGTTTGGCAAGACCCTGTCTCAAGAATCTAATAAGAAAAAAAAACTATGTTCTATGTTCTAAAGAGTTTTTTTTTTTTTTTTAATTAGCTGTTAAATATGTTCACTTAAGCCTGAGAAGTCATTTCATGCCTTTTGACCCAGATGAGATACAAGGTTTGTGCCTCTGCGGCCTGATTGCCTCTAACAGCTCCCTGCTTCTGCACTGTGGCGTTTCTGCTTGACAGTAGTGGGTGTTTCTTCAGCATAAATAGTATTGGGTCCCCCTCCCACTTACATTTGAAGGAGCAGTTTGAGATTAGTTTGCGTGGCTTTCTAGACGCATCAAAGATTTAAACCCCCAGAACCAGCACCATATATTATCCCAGCATTCAGGTTGTAGAAGGTTTTTTTCTTGTGATTCAGAGCTGAGAACCTTCTTTGATCCAATTTAGATAAACATTTTCTTTGACTTCCATCAATAGACTCCGCATGTTTTTATGGCCTAGACTCACAAAACAAGAAACTAGAGCTTCTCTAAGGAGCTAAGAAAAAACACATTTTAAAATAACTTGACCAAATGAATTCATCTGGCAAATGCAACCTCACTACATAAACTTTATAGAGTTTTGCAACAGCAGTTCCTGAAAATGTAAACAACCCCAGGGTCCACATGAGTTGAGTCACTTGGTGAAGAGAAAGAATCCGTGGCTGAAATTCTGTAGAACTAATGAGCA